GGGTTTAAGGCCAGGGGTGTGGGCCTGATCCCAGTGTCCCCGCCTTTCTTGTCAAGGTGCTAAACTTGAGGGCATGCCTTGGGTGCTGACGTTCCCAGGAACTCAGAGCCAGAGAGAGCCAGGCACCAGCCCGAAGTCACACAGCCAGGGTCTTCTTCCCTCCTGGACCCCCAATGACTGGACTTGCAGGGCTGGGACAGAGGCAGAGTGGGGGAATGCAATGAATTGTCAACCCACGCAGGGAGCCCCACTACCATTCCCAAGGTGCATAAAGTCAAGGAACACCCATTTCCAAGTCCATGCTCACTCAGGGCCCTGCTCCAAGTGCTTGGCACTCACACCGGCCTCCCGCCCTCCATGCCACAGGTGTCGGTCTCATTTACAGAGGGGGAAATGGTGGCCAAAAGCCTCCCCCAGCACACAAAGCTAGACCACACAGAGGTCTTAGGTGCAGCTGAGGGGTCCACAGTCTCTGCTGCCCCTTCTGCCACTCATGCTCCCAGGGACCACGCTTCGGAGAGGGAGGAATAAGAGTGAGCTGGGTGCTCACACATGAGGCACAGGGGACTAGGGAAGGGTCAGCCAGGAGGGAAGGGCAAGGTCTGATCCTGTAGGTACAAATCCACAGCCCGCGGAGTCAGGAGAGCCAGGGCCAGGTCCCAGCTCGGCAGCTGCTTGGTATGTGACCATGGTTAAGTTGTCTCCCTGGACTCTCCATGCACTTGTGTGCTGTGTGCACCTTCTAGAAGGAGCCTGGACCCTGGCTGGCCTCATACTTGCTGCGTAGGCTGCAGATCCACAAGTGCTTCTGCAAGGGGCTTTGCTTCTCCTCATAACAGCGGCACATGCCGGCCACTTGCTCTGGGGATAGAATGGAGTAGCTCTGGAGGTAGCAGCTGGGGGCTGGGCTTGGGTTCCTGGCCCAGACAAGGCAGAGTACATCTCAGGGTCACAGGACCTTGGCAGCAGCCCTTAGCCCACACAGGCTACCCAGGTGCCCACCCACAACCCATACCTTTGGGCAGCCCCAGCTGCTGCAGTTCACTGGCCAAGGATTCGCCATCGACGCTGTGCTTGGCCGCGCTGGAGAGGATGAAACTCAGCACTGCCACTGTGGCCTTCACATCGCCTGACTCTGATGCACCCGTGAGTGGGACAGGGGGTGTCACTGTGGCCCCAGCCACCTCCCAGTTGCCCTATTAACTTCAGCACAAAGCTCCCAGGCCTCCTGGAGCCACAGGCACTGCTACTGCTATACCAGGAGCTGGCAGAGGACAGTAAGGTGGGACTGTCAATGTCTTTCTTTCCCTTATGCTCCTCCACTAGGGAAGGTAAGTTAAGGATGCAGCAGGGAGTGGTGGGGGCCCCTCTGTACCAGGCACCATGTCAAAGTCCCAGGGTAGCCTGGGGCCTGTGAACTCAGTGGGGTACTCACCAAACTTGGCATCAGCCGTGAGCTTCAGGATCTTCTCATACGATGGGGAAAGGAGACCTTCAGGGGGCGCCAGTACCCTATTCACCAGCCCCTCACCCTCAGCCTGGATCCTGCAATAAGAACAGACAGGCTGGAAAAAAGTATGGGAGGTGCCCAGAGAGATTTCGAGGCTGGGTCACCCATCTCCCCGGGCCTAGTGCAGAGCTTCAGGGCACTGGGGGTCATAAGGTCATGGGACAATGGGGT